CTTTCTCTTGATAGCATTTTTATAAATTATGCAATGTCAAAGGTAGTAAGTTTACTTTATAGGAAGCATAGATAAATGTGTACCCTTACATTAAGAGTGATTACTGTTTAAAAGCGATATAGGATTGGGTATTATGGTCATGACAAGAATTCAGAATGAAGGCTGCGTAGTGGAGTGGACTAGGGTGGGGGGATTGTATAACAATGAAAGAATTTTTCTTTTACTTTTCAAAGAGAAGAGCGAACTGGGGGGGGGACGGGTGGGCAGGGAGAAAAATGCAACAGTGAATAATTGGAAATCCAAAGTCTCTGTAAACATTCATTAAAATTAATAATAATTTTTAAAAAGAGTCATTACTTTATAGAGCAAAATGTTTGCTGCTATTGTTCTTGTTTCTGGAATTCTAGTAAAACTTTGAAGTTATCTTTGGAAAAAGAGAAGTTTCATTGCAATACCAAAGGGGCACAATTCAAATGCACCAGATGCTCTGCTGGAGAAGGAGGGGCAATCTCCTCCTGTGCCAATCAGATCTAACTCAGTGGTACACAACAAGGAAAAAGAAATCTGACCATCCTCAATTGTAAGACATACTCTGGCAGCACTTCTTCCAAGACTGATTTGCTTGTTCTGGTAGTCCATGCATGGTGTATTTAATAGTTTTCACCAACTTCATAATTTAGAGGCATTCTTTTATTATTCATTGTCCAGTTTTCACATGCATTGGAAGTAAGTGAAAACACTCTATGCTGCTGTTATGTCGAGTCAGAATTGACCCATAGCTGACCCTGTGGCAGGTTTTCAGAGGCAGTTAATCACGCAGAAAAGCAGCTGATGAACTGCATGCCTTCAGGATTGCAGTGCAGCGTGTTACCACTAGGCCATCAGAGCCACCCTTGATTAGTTTTTGGTAAGGGAAGAAAGAAAATAAAAATGGTATCTATTTTAATACATATAATTAAAAGGTAGCTTAACTACTGAGTCCTTTGGATCGATCAGTAATTAACATGTTTCCACTTGTATAGGATCTTGAATGAGTACTTAACAAAAATTAAGTACTCTACTATTAGGGGAAAGGTTGATGTCCAAACCTACCCTGTGTGGTGGCTTTCTTTGAGAAAGGCTTGGCAATATGCTCCTATGAAGATTACAAACAGAGCATGTGGGCTGTTCTGCCCTGTCATATGGCATCACTGTGAATCAAAATCTACTCGAAGCATCTAACAGCACCATCTATCTACAGTCTGGACTTCGTTCTTTTGCTGGAGAAATAGAGCAATGCATTGTGTATTTTCAGAATTGAGTGGCACTCTATAGATATATGTGACACTGCATCTCACTCTGTGTGTGTGTCTGTGCAGCAGGAAAGAAATGACATGGAGGGGTGCTTCTGGTGGGCTAGTGTCACTTTTGTGTGGTAGCTGTGCGAGAACTTGGTCAATCTTGCCCAGCCACGCCATAGGTTGATGCCTGGATGAAGACACCAGGCTTTAGCCCTCTGTCCTGTCCTTTCCCTCAGGGCTCCATTTTCAGCCACCTTCCCCAGGCTGCTCAGAGAGTGACATGAGCCCAGGGGCAAGCTGTTACTGGTACAAGTTTGTAAACCTCGTGGCTCCAAGTACCAGCAAATGGACAGAGTACCCTGTGCACAGGTTACTTAAATATGTATGTATTGTGAGCATAAAAACATATATACTATATATAATATGACATTAAAAATATTTAAGTCACCAAATGTGCTGTGTGTATCCTGGATATTAAGCAACATGTACTTAATTTTGTAAGGCATTTTGTTGTCACTAGAACTCTGAATTATTGTTTGTTACTTATATGTCATATGTTGTTGTTACGTACCATTGAATCTGCCCCTAACCATAGCTGACCCTCCAGTGGATTTTTAGAGGTAGTTAACCACATGGGAGGAGAGTGCACATTTTTTTCCCACTGAGTGGCTGGTGGATTCACATGACTTGCCTTTGGGTTGGCAGTGCAATTCCTTTCCACTCAGTCACCGATCTCCCCCTGTGTGCCAGATTGTTATTGTTGTTTGCCATCAAATCAGAGCCAATCCGTAGCTAACCCATCAGATTTTCAGAGACAGTAAATCACATGAGAAGAGATTGCCCATCCTTCTCCAGTGGAGTAGCTGGTGGACTCCAAGCATGTGCCTTGGGGATTGCAGTGCAGCTTCTTGCCTCTAAGACACCAGAGCTCCCAAGATAATGTGCCACCTTGTGTTTGTTGTTTAGTACCTTCAAGTTGAAACCAACCCATTGCTGATCCTTCCGTGGGCAGTTAATTTCAGAGGAGGAGTTACCCATTCTTCTCCTGTGGAGCAGCTCGTGGATTTGAACTGTGTACCTTCAGGATTGCAGCATAGCTTCTTACCACTAGATCACCAGAGCTCCCTTAGTGTGCCAGATAGTGAGGATTAAATACATTCTCTCTAGTCTTACATATTACTGGAAAGGTATGTAATCCATTTTCAACGTAAGAAGCCAAATTTGGAGATGAAGGCACTTGACCGAAAAAGTATTGTGGTTGTAAAGCCAGGGCATTTGGTAAGAGCTCTGTTCTGAAACTTAAATTCACTTTTTTCAGTTAGGTGGTTACACATTTTAGAAATACAGATTTGATATCTTGTTAAATAATTTCCTTGGCTCAAAATTATAGTTAATTTTACTCAGTATCTGCAGTTTTAGTCTTATTTTGGATTTTACAGAATCAGAAGAGGAAGTTACGACTTCTGGTTCTCCTTTTTTTTTTTTTTAATTGTGGAAAAAAGTGTACTTACAGATGAGAAGGTAGAACATATCATTTTATCAACACTTTGTAACTATTGAGTCCAGTTTCTCTATTGTATATAAGTTCTCCATGAGTCAGAGTCAGCTTGATGACACCACTACCAGTTATTATCTGTGTCAGTCACCAGAACAAGAGACATTCTCTATGCCCTTCTCTTATTATAATTATCTTCTCTTTATGAGTTAGCCACTACTCTGACCTAACCTTGGTGGTAGTTCTTTTCTTTTTTTTTTACATTTATTGTTACTGTTCTTTTTGCCCTTCAAAGGTGGGTGGGTGGCCCTGACCCTAGAGTAAGGGTAAGTAAGGGTGGAGTGAATCCTGCGAAGCCTGCTCCAGGGACTAGCTTAAAATCCTGTAGAATTTAGCCTTTAATTGCTTTTGGTGAAACTTTCTTCTAGGTCGTGGAACCCTGGTATGTCCACTTGCCGTACAGAGATAACTTGTGGTTGCTTTGAAGCCGAACACTGGGACACTGATGGGTCAAATGCGAGAATAGATACCCATGGTGGGCAGTGTTTGGTGGAGCTTCTTGATTAAAACAAGCTTGGAAGCAGGAGTGGCATCCAATTTTATGATAGCTTGTCTTGGGAAACCCTATGAACCTGGAGAAAGGACGAAAGTTATACAGGTGTCCAAGACTTTAGTTCATAGGGTCGTTATGCCTCAATGGCACTTAACAACACCATCACCACTCCAACTGTGGGAGACTATGTCTACCTTAGTATTTTTTTTTCCATTAATTTTAATGAAAGTTTACAGAGACTTAGAGTTTCCAGTTATTCATTTTTGCATTTTTCTACCTGCCCACCACCTCCTCTCAAGTCACTCTTCTTGAAAAGTAAAACTCTTTTTATTATTATGCAGTCCCTCCCCCCAAATCCATTCCACTATGCAGCCTTCGTTCTGGACTCCTGTCATGACAATAATACCTAATCATATATCCCTTTTAAACAGTTCTCTCCCTCATATCTCTCTCTCTTATGTTTCAATGCAGTATACATAATTTATCCCATCTTTCTCAGTCTCCCCCCTAATCCTGATGTCAGTCCCATTTTACAACAGTGGCACTATGCAGTATTTGTCCTTTCCTGACTGCGATATTTCACTCAGCATAATGTCCTCTAATGCCACCCATTTTGCATAATATTTCGGGAGTTCCTTGTTTTTCCGTGCTACATAGTTTTCCATTATGTGACTATACCAGAGCTTCTCTAGTCATTCGTTTGTTGATGGGCACTTGAGTTATTTCCAACTCTTTGCTATTGTGAGCAAAGCCTCAATAAACATGGGTGTGCATATATCTGCTTGGATGGCAGTTACGGTTTCTTAAGGGTAAATTCCCAGGAGTGGAATTGCTGGGTCAAATGGTATTTGGTGGTGGTTCTTTGTAGTTTGATCTGTGTATGCTTTGTTTTCTTACACATAAATATATACCTAAGAATAAATGTCTCTTTCCTATGTTGTTGTTAGGTACCCTGTGAACAACAGAGCTGAACTGTTCCTAAGCAAAAATAAATCTATTTTAAAAATTTGTTTTCTATATAGATTAGGGGTTGCTTAAAACATACATATATATCACAGTAGGAATTAATAGTGTCAGAATCATAGGGGAAATGTTTGACTTAGGAGTACTAAATAAAGTTAATGTACTAAGGATATAATTGTTGTATACCCTCGAGTTGGAACAGACCCTCCAGTAGATTTTCAGAAGCAGTAAATTGCATGAGAGGAGACTACCCAGCCTTCTTTCACGGAGCATCTGGTAGATGCAAACCACATCCTTTGGGATTGCAGCACAGCCGCTTGCCAGTTAGGCCATTAGACCTAAGGATATAGTACTAAGTAGTAAGTAAATTATTTGCTTAAGAGTAGCTTTTCAAGAATTTGACTAAACATACAATTGCTATTCTGATTGTTGTTGTTGTTATGTGCCATCAAGTCGCTTGCAACTCATAGCGACCCTATGTACAAGAGCTCTAAATGCTGTTCTATCCTGGCTATTCTGATTACAGTTGATATTAGTCAGTGCTTTCAGCTATGATTATTTGTTATTGTCTTTCTACTCACCCTATATGTATTAGCCCATTGTACTTTTTCTACATTAGCATTTTCCAATTTTGTATCAGATCAGGTAGAGTAAGTTCAAGTGTAACTTGCCGTAGTATAATCTCCTTGTTTTTCTTTCTCTTTTGCAGCATGGGTAGGTTCTCTCTCTATGGGGATGATTTTCTTTTGCTGTCCCATAGTCAGTGTCTTCACAGACATATTTGGATGTCGGAAAACAGCTGTCATTGGTGCTGCAGTTGGCTTCATTGGACTCATGTCGAGTTCTTTTGTAAGGTAAGGGCTTAGTTTTCTCATGTCACCATGCAGGAACTGTTAGCTTTATAACTACTTTTACACCTTAAAATGACTATTTTTTTTTCCCATTTCAGATATTTCCCTATTCCTGTTTTTATTGTTTGTAACTTTAAGCAGTTATGGGTTTTTAATTGAACTGTTAATCATTGCAACAAATCAGATTTGGCTAATTCTAATGATTTCATTTTTACTCTTAGAGCCGAAATGTTAATCAGGTTATAAGTATTCCCTAGAGCCAAGGAAAAGGTTTCTACTTTTGTTTTTCTCCTCACATAAGAATTCCAAATTATAACTGATGTATCAAAAGCAATGGTCCTAGAGTCAACTAAGTCTGAGGCTCAAGAATAAAAAGTGTACTTTAAAGGATTGTTTAGAGGCTTGCTAAGAAAATATTTTTTCAATGATAATTAAAAACTTGGCTATGCATTCTGGTCCTGTTAGAGGATTTATTTTTTTCTATTAGAGGATTTTTTTCTGTATTTTAAAAAACACAAAACAACAAACCAACAAAAACACAACCCCAGAAAAGAAAAAAAATAATGAACATGCTAAAATTTTAAAAGATCATGACAAAATAAACTGGTCACATGCAACTTAGAATAAAATGTAATATCTCAATGTGCCCTTCTCTGGTGCCTGTTTGCTAAAAGGTATAGTGAATGGAAGAAACTATAATGGCAAGGAACTGATGGGCACATTAACATATGAGTTACTTCTCTGTGTAGCTCAAGTCCACCTCCTAAATACCAATGTATTGTCAGAATGATGCCCAGTTAGAGACTGGAAGGTTTAATATGTCATTCTGACCAAGAGGATGTGATGAACAGGTAAGTCTGTTAAGATCATTTCTGTCCTCTGTCTCTACTTGAATGGTTTATCTTTTATTTTCTCTGCTTCTTTCTATTCCTTAGCTATGTTTATGCTTTAATTTAAAGGGATTATTATGATCACCAGAATTTACCTCCTCTATGCCCCAAATAAGCTTATATGTATCTTGACCTGTTTACTTTTAAATACTCTTACTTGTATCAAAGAATCATGGTTTACTAATTTACCCTTCCCACACTACATGAGCACACGTGTTCCTGAACTTTAAGCTTAATTTTATATCTTCTTGCACCTAAACATTGCCATTAATATCACTTGCAAGTTACAGCTTGTTAAAGATTATTAAAAAATTGCTAGAACATTATATCAGTGGGGAACTATAGAAATTCAAGCCGAACTCAGAAGAGGCTGTGAAATCTTGCTGATGTCAGATGCATCTTGGCTGAAAGCAGAGAATGCTAGAAAGATGTTTACTTCTGTTTTATTGACTATGCAAAACCAGACTCTGAATCATAAAAATTATGGACAAAATGGAGAGAGATATGAACTCCAGGACACTTAATTGCGACCATGTGGTACCTATACATAGACGAAGAAGCAGTTATTCAAACAGAACAAGAGAATACTATGAGGTTTAAAAATCAGGAAAAGTGTGTTGTGGTTGTATCTTTTCTCCAGTCTGCATGATGAGCAAATAATGCGAAAAGATGAAGATTAATATGCCATCAGAATTGGAACAAGACTTGTCAACAACATATCATAAGCTTGTTTTGTTTTGTTTACTGGAAATGAACAAGACTTGAAGAAGTTGTGATGAAGGTCAAAGACTTCATGATATATGCATTATACCTCAACATAAAGAAAACAAAAATCTCAACTAGACCAGTAAGCAAAATCATCATGAGTAGAGAAAAGATTGGTGTTGTCGAGGATTTCATTTAACTTCGATTTACAGTCTACATCTATGAAAGTAGTTGTCAGGAAATCAAGTGACATAGTGCCTTGGGCAAATCTGTCTCCAAGGAGCTTTTAAACTGCTAAAGAACAATGAAAGATGTCATTCTAAAGCCTAAGCTTTGCCTAATCCAAACCTTGATAGTTTCTATTGCTTCATATGTGTGTTAAAGTTGGACAATGAATAGGGAAGACTGGAGAATTGATGCATTTGAATTGTGGTGTTGGTGAAGAGTGTGGAATATACTGTGAACTTCCAAAATAACAAGCAAATCTGTCTCAAAAGAAGCATAACCCAGGTACTAACTCCATAGAGGCAAAAATGGTGAAACTTCGTCTCACATACAAGAGCAACCAGTCTCTGGAGAAGGACATCATGCTTGGAAAAGTAGAGAGTAAGCAAAGGTAAAGAGGACCCTGAAAGAGAAGGATTGGCCCAGTGATTACACAAATGGATTTCTGCCCAGCAGAGATTTTGAGGATAGTTCAGGCTCAGGAGGAGTTTCATCCTGTTGGACATTGGAGCAGTTTGAGTCAGTCAGAGCTGATTGATGACATCTAACAAAAACAACTTAGACAGTGTCTTTGGATTTTAAACTATTGATAGAAATCAGGTATTCCATCTTTAAAAAGGTATCATAATGTTTTTGAGTCTTCTAAAGTCTTTTAAAGGAAAAAGCAGATTTTGTTTGTAACAAAAGTCTGTTTAAGTCTCCCATATCACTTTCTTTTCATTCTTTTTTTATCAGTAATACATCCTCTTTGATCTGGAAACTTCCAGTTACCCATCACAGGTATCTGTGGTTGCCTTGTTGTTGCATACCATAAAGTCAGAACTTACCTATAACTGACCCTCCAGCAGGTTTTCAGAGGCAGTTAATCATATGGGAGTCAATTGTCCATCGTTCTCCCACTGAGCAGCTTGTGGCCTCAAACTACATGCCTTCAGGATTGCAGCACAGCTTTTGTCACTAGGCTACCAAAGTTCCCATGATGGCCTACCTACTTGCCTAATGCATTAACATTCAGCTTTGATAGAAGACTAAGAAGTAGAAAATTTATAGAATGTACTGCCTAGTTTGGTAGATAAATCACACATGTGGAAGTCCAGTTAGAGCAACTTTTAAACCCAGGTCATACTTGTTTAACCACTGAAAAAGAAAAATTATATAGCGGGAGCTCTGGTGGCTTAGTGCTAAGGAGTTTATTCTGCCAACCCAAAAGCAGATGGGTCAAATCCACCAAAGAAAAATGGGTGGTCTCCTCCCATGCAATTTACAGCCTCTGAAAACCTGCTGGTCTAGTTTTGCCTTCTTTCTTTTCCAGCCTCCCCAAGTCACATTGGTGTTTCTTCTTTGAACCTTTTTGTACACATGACCAGTGTTTCACAGAAGTTTTAATAATTTACAGTGACTTATTTATTTGCCAAACTCCCAGTGACTTGAATCATGTGTTAAGGAGGTAAAAAATTTAGAAGTGAAAAGGTACAGTAGTGAAAATGCCATTACAAAGCACATGCACTTTACTCTGTAGGAGAGATAAGCTAATCTTACACAGAGCTGGGTATTAAAATCACATTCAAATGATATTTTGATTTATTTTGTAAAGTTTGAACAAAAATTTGTTGAATAAACTTTATCTTAACACTAATATGTTTTTAAAGTATATAGGTAATTTTAAGATATTTTGGTAGCTTTTCCTTTTAAGTGAGATTTTACAAATTATTCCATTTTCATGTAATCATTTATAGACATTTTGTTTTATAACATTAGTTACAGTTGACTAATGTAATTGTAAAATCTAATCAAACTCTTAATGTGTATTGCCTTTCCCTTGACCCTACTGATCTATTAATTTTTGCTCACCCATCCCTCCCTTCTCTTCCCTGTTAATCCTCCAAGATTGTGCTCTGTGGAAACCTTTCCCTCCCTTTTTGTATTAATGGTCTTATCCCATAATGGGAGCTCTGGTGGCATAATCTGTAGGGAATTGCACTGCTGACCCTAAGGTGGCACATCTCTAGCAGTTTGAATCCACCAATAGCTCAGCAGGAGAAAGCTGGACAGTTTTCTCCCAAGTGGTTTAGAGGCTCCAGACACCCGGTGGGTCAGTGATGAGTCTGTGCTGAGTCACCAGTAATGAGGAGTAGTTTTCAGGGTTTTTTCCAATGCCACAGTTGTCCTTTTGTGACCAATTTATACCACTCAGCATAATTTGTTCTAGAGTCGCCTGTATTGTACAGAATTTCACAAATTCTGGGTGTATTATTTTTATATATAGTAATGGATAGTACCCCACTGTGTAAGTGTACCAGAATTTCTTTAGCCATTCATCCATTGGCAGGCACTTGAGTTGTTTCCAGCTCTTTGCTGTTGTATAATACTGCAATAATAATAGTAATAGTGTGTATATGTCACTTCAAATGAAGTTTTGATTTAATATCTGTGGCTCTCAGGTTTTCCAGCTGACAGCATTGTGCTATGGTGATAAAGTATATAGAAATTGATGTTCATGAGACTGTCCCATCTATTTTAGTTTTAATATATGCTACTAACAATAGAAATGTATACTAGATTTCCACTCCCTCCTTTTCTCCCTCACCCCAATTAGCAAAATAAATAACAAGTCTACACTTTAGAAGTAAATTGGAAAACTACTTATGTGAACATGTTGATGCAAAATGAATGAATGATTATTTTACATTTTGTGCTGATTTTTTTTTGGAGTGCATGTTTTGTTTTAATAAGTCTCTGGGTAGCTTAATGAATGAACCACATTTTAAAATATTTTTCTCACTAAGTACTTGATATACATAGTACCTCACTAGATACATTGCAGCTACCTATTCTTAAGCTTGTTGAATGCAGAGTGGAGATTCAGTAAAGGATAAAGTAGAATTAATCTAGAAAGTCTAGATTGAGTGACTCTTGAGACTGATGTGAAGATGGTGTTAGCTGTAGATTAATGGACAGGAAAGGGCATCTCAGAACTGCCAACATTTCTCAATTTTATTAGATTCTAGAGTTCCTTTTGATTATTTTGGCATATTGCTATATTAACATTATTCTGCAAAACATAATCATTAACTAACTTTATCTACCTTGGTTTCTAATAAATTGTTTGCTTTTACTACTGATAAACAGTCTTTTAAGTTAGACTTTTCTAAAGAAATTAACTTTCGTTTTCTTTTATTCCTTACACTTATTGATTAAAAAGAGTGTTGTAATCTTTTACTTTGGTGAGAGATGTGTAATTATTTTGCTGAACTATGAAGTTTTTAATCTTTCCTTCCTCTTTTCAGACATACATGACCTGAAAACTTGCTAACTGGAATCACTCACAGGCACATTTAATTTAGTCTTTCTGCAATCAGAATATGATTTCTTGTTATCTTGCCCAATAGTGAGAATAGCACAGTAGAGGGCGAAGGTTGGTCTGCAGCCCTTAGGCCAGCAGAAATGAAGCCCTATTGCTCTCTGTGCAAATGTTGCTGACATAACCTTGGGGAGAAAAGTCAAATGCAGCAGCTTCTTTTAATAGATTGCTTATTAAGGAAAACTCCAGGAAAATGAATGTATTTTAATAGTTTAATTACTTTTTTCTAGTTTTATTGAATTTAGGGGTTTTGTTTAGTTGCCAGTGTTTCAAAGCCAGTGCCCTGTTTCTGAGCTGTGCAGGACTCATTAATTCTATGCTCTCCTGACATTCACCGAGAGGAGGGAGAGAATAGAATCACTCTTGACTTGAATGATCATTTTCCACATATTTGAGGCATTTTTGTTATCTGTTCAGATTCAGTGAAAATATTTTTAGTGCTCCATTATTGATTTGTTATGTTCTCTACCTCTGCTTTTCATTTTATTTGTAGAAAGTAGATTGAAAGTATTTAAGTAAACCTTACGTTTGCTGTAAGGTTTTGCTCTACCCAGGACATGATAAAAATAATGAAAGCTGCTTTCCATGTCTTTGATCTTTACACAGCTCCATCGAGCCTCTGTACCTTACCTATGGAATCATATTTGCCTGCGGCTGCTCCTTTGCATACCAGCCTTCATTGGTCATTCTGGGACACTATTTCAAGAAGCGGCTTGGACTGGTGAATGGTATTGTCACCGCTGGCAGCAGTGTCTTCACCATCCTGTTGCCTTTGCTTTTAAGGGTCCTCATTGACAGCGTGGACCTCTTTAATACACTGAGGGTCCTTTGTATCTTCATGTTTGTTCTCTTTCTGGCTGGCTTTACTTACCGACCTCTTGTTTCCAGTGCCAAAGATAAAGAGAGTGGATCCAAAGGGGGCAACAGATTTTCCCTCTTTTCTAGGAGAAAATTCAGTCCTCCAAAAAAAATTTTCAATTTTGGCATTTTCAAGGTGACAGCTTATGCAGTTTGGGCAGTCGGAATACCACTTGCTCTTTTTGGATACTTTGTGCCTTATGTTCACTTGGTGAGTATGCGTCTTGGGTTTCTCTGGTAACAAATATTATTCTATACTGAAAAACTTTTCAGGAAAGCCAGATAGGAAAGGTTAAAATTGAACTGGAACACTATCCTAGTTATAGTTCTGAAGACTTTTGAAGTTTAAAGACTCTCAAGTCAAGGCCAACACACCCATCAGGCCTTCAAAAAGAGATCTGGTTCATTGTGCTCATTGGTATTTTAATATCTCCAAACTCAACAAATCAAAAGGATCTATGAAAAGTAAAAGAAGGGTGTTCCAGTGGCTTGGTGGGTAGATATTTGCACTAACAACCCAACAGCGGGTAGTTCAAATCTACCAGTTGCTCCACAGGCTGAAAGTGAACAGTACTCCCCTATGTGATTCACAGTGTCTGAAAACTCACTGAAGAGTCAGCTTTGAGTTGTTTCAGACTTGATAGCAGTGTTTTTTTAAGAGAATTATCATGGCCTATTGTGTAAAGAACTTCACTGCCAACCCAAAGGCAGGTAGTTTGAATCCACTGGCTGCTCCATGGGAGAAAGATGGCAGTCTCCTACCATGTGTTTACACGCCTCTGAAAATCCACCAAAGGGTCAGCTTGGAGTTGGTTCTGACTTGGAAGCAAATGAGTGAATAAATTTTGGAAAAAATTACATCACCAAGAGTAGGTTACTCTTCCTTTGAGTAACTCAGTAATCTTAATAAGAGATGAACGAATTTGCCAACGTAAGTTATTCTTCAACAGAAGGGTGCAGAAATAAGGTAGGTAGCAAAGCACTCAGTGGCCTTGATACAAAGATGCTTTCCTTTCCCTCCAACCCCACACTTCAAGGAAATAGAAATTCTATTTAGTAGAATATTTGAGAAATATTTAAGAAGTTCCAAAAGAGGCTAGAGTTAGAGTTTGAGTGGGAATTGGGATTTCAAATGAGCAAGCAGTTTATACGGTTTATTTCTTTTCCACTGGGCAAAATCCAAACTCTATCTTAAAACAATAATAAGTAGTTTCTAAAATATTTATCCCTAGCCAAACTTGCTCAAAAGTACTCTGTTTTATATATTTATAATTATATTTATTTATATTACTTCTGTTTAACTGATAATGTATTATAGCTCCATATAGTTGACAAATTATAAAGAAAATGTGGTGCTGACATCACTTTTTTTTAGTGTGCGCATGTCTGTATGTGCCCAAAGGGAGTAGATTATAAACTAGAGAAGATCCAGTCACTCTCTTTGCCCTTCCCTTTCTTCTCTCTCTCTCTCTGAAAAAAATAGTTACTCCCAGTTTTGCTGTGGTGGTGTGGTAGGTGAGCTCTTCACTGTCTGTACCACCACATGTTGTTCATTGCTATTAGGTTCTTGTTTTCTTTACCAATTCCTTCTGTTTCCTCTGACCTTTTGAATATCAGAGTATCAAGGGATCTTTTCCTCATCTCAGTATGTATGTATTCTACTGGTGGCTTCATTGCATCTCCTACATTTAAACATCACATATATGTCAGTCACTCTATAGCCTTAATCCAGACTTCCTTCTGAGCTCTTTATTAGACTTATATATCCAACTACTTAGTATCTCCACTAAGTGACAGCAAGATGCTTCAGATTTATTTATCTAACCCCAAATTCCTTGTCTTATGCCTCAAAACTTGCTCTGCTGCAGCCATCTTCCTCTCAGGATATTGTGGTTCCGTCCTTTCAACTGATCAGGCCAAGAACTCTGGAATCACCACTCTATACTCTTTTACATTTTTTTAAAATTTTACCCTCTTTTTGTTGTTGTTGTTGTGTACCGTCGAATCGGATCTAGCTGGCACAGGAGAAGATTGTCCCTCCTTTTTCAGCAGAGCATCTGGTGGATTTGAACTGTGTGCCTTTGAGATTGCAGTGCAGCTTCTAGCCACTAGGCCACCAGAGCTCCCTCACTCTGTACTCTTTTTTTTTTTTTAATAATTTTAATGAGCATTTACAGAGATTTTGGATTTCCATTCATTCATTGCTGCACTTCTCTACCTGCCCAGCCCTCCCCCCTCCTCCAGTTTGCTCCTCTCTTTCAAAAGTAAAAGAAAGACTCCCTCCCTGGGACACAATCCCCCCACACTCCTCCCACCGCCCCAAGTACATTCCACTATGCAACCTTAATTGTACTCTTGAGGTTTCCATCTTGGAGAAGGTGCTACTAAGGTGCTCTTTAGAAGCAAGGATGGTGGAACTTATCTCACACAATTTCAGCATTTTGTCAGGAGGAACCAGCCCTTGGGGAAAGCCATTGTGCTTAGAAAAGTAGAGAGTCAGTGAAAGAAAAGAAGACCTTCAGTAAGATATATTGACCAAATAACCACAACAGTGGTGGAGCTTGGGAAAATGGCAGCGGATAGGGTAAGGTTTCAATCTGCTGTTCATAGGGTCACTCTGAATTGTAGTCAACAACAATAGGCTCAGTCTAGTCAGAAAATCCTGTTGATAGACCCAGGATCTGACCTTATCTCACCATCTAGACTTCTAGCATTTTAGACCAGACCACCGTCATCATTCCATGGTCTCCTGTCTCAACTCCATACCATGTCTCATGCTCATGTGGTCTTTTCTCAACACTGAAACAACAGGCATTCTTTCAAAACATAAGTCATTCAGTTGAAGATGCTTCAGTTGGTTCCCCTTTTACGTAAAGTTAAAATTAACGTCTTGGCACAAGGCTGTCCATGACCTGACCTCTTTTACCTCTCTGACCTCATCTCTGACCAACCTCCCTTGCTCACTTTTCTGTAACCGTATCGGCCTCTTTGCTGATCACTTTCTAAGTGAGGCTTACCCTGACCACCTTGTTGAAACTAGAACCCTCCACCTCTGCCCATTCCACAGCATTCCCAGTCTCCCTCACCCTGCTTCTCGCACACTCCATAATTGTTTGATTTGATTACTGTTTATCATCTGTATGTATTTCTCTACTACAATATGAGGTCCACTAGAGGGGAGTTCTGGTGGCTTAGTGGTAAGGAATTGTGCTGCCAACACAAAAGTAGGAAGTTTAGATTCACCAGCTTCTCTGCGGGAGAAAGATGGACAGTCAACTCCCATGTGGTTTACAACCTCTGAAAACCCACTGGAGGGTCAGTTGTGGGTCAGTTTCAACTCTGTGGTACATTACAACAGGATGATGATGGAGTCCAGGAATTCAGCACAGTGCCTGGGCTATAGTCGATACTCAAATATTTGTTGAGTGACTTTATCTCTTGTGATATGCTTAAGGTCATGTCAGGTGAGCAGCCATCATTTTCCTGTCATTTTTGGGTTTTTTAAAAATTCTCTACATTTAGTATCATAATTGTTTTTGTATTTTATAAGATGTAATACTACTCATATCTATTAAACACCTAAAATATTAAGCTGAAACTCAGTAAACCTTTAGAGTGTTAGGTAACCACTGATGATTTCTGTTGATAGTAGGGGAAACTGATATGTTTTGATACATAACCTTCTTTGTATATGTTGAAATTGTAACTTGGTAAATAAAAGCCATTTTTTAAACTCTCTCACTATTAATAAATATATATAAGGGAGGAATAGAAACTTTTGATGGTTATCCCATTAACAAAAAAAGCCAATTAGTATGTCCCCTATATGTTGTTGTTAAGCACCATTGAGTCACTTGTGACTCATAGCGACCCTATGGACAAAGTCTCTGAAGCCTTACTGTGCTGGGCCAGTCTCACTGACTCCAACGTGCACCTACCCCCATTCCCTAGTCACTGTATCAATTCATCTCATCCGGGGTCTTCCTCCCCTGCACTGTCCCTCCACCCCTCCGAGCGAGCGTGATGTCCTTCTCTAAGGACTGGTGCCTTCTGGCCATGTGCCCAGGGTAGTGAGACGGAGCTTCAAAATTCTAGCCTCCAAGGAGAAACTTGGTTTTACCCTCTTAAAGACAGACCTATTTGTGTATTAGTGTAGCAACTGAAAATTTCAAGGAACCTCAGGTGATGTTTGTGAGTTCAGATACCCACTTCATAGTCCAAGCATCACTCATTTATATAGATTCTGTCAAGCAGTGAGCATGTCATGGCAGCCAAATGACTGATAAATGTCTCAGGAGGCAATATGACCTCTCGTTAACATGAAATGCCCTATCTTAAATATGAAGATGGTAATTTAGTTTAAAGGCTTTTATATTTTTCTCCTACAAGCCTTGAAAATCAGCTAGGTACATTGTTCTTTGATTCTGGAACATATATTTAGGTCAAGTATTTGTTTTTTAGTATTATATCCATGTAGTTCTCTATCAAGAAAATGGTTAAATCTGTAATACACATGTTTACTAGACTGTGTGGTGGTTTTGTTTGTTTTATCTCTGGTAAGATAGAGGTGTGTTGGTTTTATGGCACATTGACTTTTCTCAAGAAAAACTTGAACCTGTGAAGAAAGATTCCATGCTCCTGATGATGTAAGGATATAATTGTTTGCCTGCTGGTGAGGTTAAGTGGACTCCAAGTCCAGTTGTAATCGAGGAGGGAAAAAACCCACACAAGTTATTTTAAACTAGAAATGAAAGATGACGCAAACAAGCCAATAAATGGGACATATAGTACCTCAAGAGTTATTTGATAGCTTTAAGTGATAGCAAATGAGTCAGTATTTGAATGTTGCTGTTAGCCTCACAAGCCAGGGTACCTCTGTCCACACTGCAGTTAGAGCAGGAGTACAGCTTCAAGGTAGAGTTCAGAACGCCAAGCCGTAGGGCCTACTTTGAGCCATGCCATGCCCACACCTTTCTGTTGAGCTGTCTCAGCCATTCGAGCCATGCCATGCCCACACCTTTCTGTTGAGCTGTCTCAGCTGTTCTGGAATGTAATTGAAAGGATATCATGTAACCTTGGATCCTGCCCCAACATCCCGCCTTTGCTCTCTAGTTCGTTGTGAACATGGGAAAAGTCAGGCCAGACAAAGTTGCTTTTTACAATTTCTGATAAGCAGGGCATGAAACATTCTTAGCTTTGTTTTCAGTTTTG